GACTAGCTGCCTTCCCTCTAGTCTTACACTGCTAAATTAGGGACGGCTAGCGCAGATAGCCCTCGTGTAGCTTTGCAAGTTTCTGTAAAAGTTTTTTGAAAAATCTTTAACTTTTAATTCCTTCACTCTACAAGTTTTCGATGGAAGGCGTTGTTTTGTTTTTTTGTGCAGTGTGTTATAATTCTTGTGTTGTTTAAATCACTGTGTGTGTTATAAATTCTGAATCAATTCCACGTCCTGACTAACACTTGTTAATTTCAGCAAAAATAAGAATACTTATATTCCTAAGCATGTTTGAGCTGAAGAAAAGAAACACATAGAAAAACAGGTTTTTATTATGTTAAAGACTGTTTTGTGGAGTGTACCTTTCTTTCTTACCATGTTGAAAAACCAATAACGCACGTTCTCAGTAAGTGTCAATAACACACGTCCTCAGTAAGTACAAATAATACACGTCTTCAATAAGTGCCAATAACACGCAAGTCCTCCCGTAAGTACTAATAACACAAGATTTCATTTCCCCCCAGTACAAGTAGCTTTATCTGAAATGCCGGAAAAAGTTCTCAACATCATGGAATTTCCGATCTACATTACAGGACAACAGTTTTCGTTACTTAACTTATTTAGTGTCGCCACGAAAGTTAGAATAATCCCGCGTTTAGAAGATAAGGGTAACGACAGGAGAAAGAAAACCTTGGTCTGGAAATGAGGTAATCATATTTCGCAAATCTGTTCAAATTTCTCAAATAGGAAGTACACACTTTTTCTTGTTCAGTAACTTACTGAAGTGCTTTTCGATGTTCTAAATAGGGTAAAAGTCGATTAGGGATAAGAAAACAGTTTATCTGGCAATGACAACTAGAATGATGTGGTCCTTTAAGAGGAATAAGACAACAGCTTATCTGAGAGTGACAGCTATACTGATATGGGTCTTTAAGCAGGCTAAGACAACAGCTTATCTGACAGTTACAGCTATATTCATGTGGGACTTTGAAAGGGCTAAGACAACATCTTATTTGACAGTGACACCTATACTGATATGGGTCTTTAAGAGGGCTAAGACAACAGCTTGTCTAACAGTGATAGTTATACTGATATGAGTCTTTAAAAGGGACAAGACAACAGCTTATCTTAAAGAGACAGCTAAACTGATGTGGGTCTTTAAGAGGGCTAAGACAATAATTTATCTGGCAGTGATAGCTAGATTGGTTTGGTTTTTAAGAGAGCTAAGACAACAGCTTATCTAGCAGCGATAGCTAGATTGGTTTGGTTTTTAAGAGAGCTAAGACAACAGCTTATCTAGCAGCGATAGCTAGATTGGTTTGGTTTTTAAGAGGGCTAAGACAACAGCTTATCTAGCAGCGATAGCTAGATTGTTTTTTAAGAGGGCTAAGACAGCAGCTTATCTGACAGTGATAGCTAAATTGGTCTGGTTTTTTAAGAGGTATAAGAAATAACTTATCTTAAAGTGACAGCTAAACTGATGTGGGTCTTTAAGAGGTCTAGGACAACAGCTTATCTGACAGTGACAGCTATACCGATATGGGTCTTTAAGAGGGCTAAGACAACAGCTTATCTGACAGTGACAGCTATTCTGATATGGGGCTTTAAAAGGGATAAGACAACAGCTTATTTGACAGTGACAGCTATACTGATATGGGTCTTTAAAAGGGATAAGACAACAGCTTATATGACAGTGACAGCTATATTGATATGAGGCTTTAAAAGGGATAAGACAACAGCTTATTTGACAGTGACAGCTTTACTGATATGGGTCTTTAAATGGGATAAAACAACATTTTATATGACAGTGACAGCTATACTGATATGGGTCTTTAAAAGGGATAAGACAACAGCTTATATGACATTGACAGCTATATTGATATGAGGCTTTAAAAGGGATAAGACAACAGCTTATTTGACAGTGACAGCTTTACTGATATGGGTCTTTAAATGGTATAAAACAACATTTTATAGTACAGTGACAACTAGACTGGTGTTGGTCTCAAAGAGGGATAAGACAGGGTGTATCTTACAGTGACAACTAGACTAAGGTAGGTTTCAAAGAGGGATAAGACATGGTGTATCTTACAGTGACAACTAGACTAAGGTAGGTTTCAAAGAGGGATAAGACAGGGTGTATCTTACAGTGACAGCTAGACTAAGGTGGGTTTAAAAGAGGGATAAAACAGGGTGTATCTTACAGTGACAGCTAGACTAAGGTAGGTTTCAAAGAGGGATAAGACAGGGTGTATCTTACAGTGACAGCTAGACTAAGGTGGGTTTCGAAGAGGGATACCACAGGGTGTATCTTACAGTGACAACTAGACTAAGGTGGGTTTCAAAGAGGGATAAGACAGGGTGTATCTTACAGTGACAACTAGACTAAGGTAGGTTTCAAAGAGGGATAAGACAGGGTGTATCTTACAGTTACAGCTAGACTAAGGTGGGTTTCAAAGAGGGATAAGACAGGGTGCATCTTACAGTGACAGCTAGACTAAGGTGGGTTTCAAAGAAGGATAAGACAGGGTGTATCTTACAGTGGCAACTAGACTAAGGTGGGTCTCAAAGAGGGATAAGACAACTTTATATCTACTTGAATTAGATTGCAGGGAAAACAAAAGCTGTTTATGTGCTTTACCTTACCTGATGAACTGGTTTATACTATGACAGCTTGGATAAGTAACATGCACTTAAAGAAAGAAACACTAAACTAACACGAAGCTATCTCTGTTTTTCAAACGCACATTTGATACGAGCTTAAACACAGAGCTAAGTTTTGGTTAACCAGTGAAACAGATTTAGAACAAGGCAAGCAAGTCTCCCAGCCTATGGTCAAGGTCAGACCGGTCCCTACGCTAGCCAGGTGTCATTCTCTGATAGCAGATGATGTGCTTATAATCTCGTCACTGACAATCCCACACACCATCAAAACACGCTTGACCATTCCCGGGATCAATATACAAATATTAACTATATTCTTTCTTGGTTAAGAATTTTTATTGGAAACCTGCCACTATTATCCAGGGTGCTGCTTCACCAGAAACAAAATAACCAAGTTATGGAAAACTGCCACTATTATTCAGGGTGCTGCTTCCCCAGAAACAAAATGACCAAGTTATGGAAAACTGTCACTATTATCCAGGGTGCTGTTCACCAGAAACAAAATGACCAAGTTATAGAAAACTGCCACTATTATCCAGGGTGCTGCTTCCACCGAAACAAAATGACCAAGTTATAGAAAACTGTCACTATTATTCAGGGTGCTGCTTCCCCAGAAACAAAACGACCAAGTTATAGAAAACTGCCACTATTATCCAGGGTGCTGCTCCCCCAAAAAAACAAAATGACCAAGTTATGGAAAACTGCCACTATTATCCAGGATGCTGCTTCCCCAGAAACAAAATGACCAAGTTATAGAAAACTGCCACTATTATTCAGGGTGCTGCTTCCCCAGAAATAAAATGACCAAGTTATGGAAAACTGCCACTATTATCCAGGGTGCTGTTTCCTCAGAAACAAAATGACCAAGTTATGGAAAACTGCCACTATTACCCAGGGTGCTCCTTCCTGTATCACGCTGGTTATAACTTCTTTTTCTGCTCTGATAGAGTTAAAAATATTATATTACCAATAATAACACCAGTGACAAGTAAAGGCAGATTTTTTGCTTTTAATTTCTGGCATTTCTTGACATTGACCAAAAAATGTCTTTCAATGACATTATTTCCCAAAACTAATTATCATAAAATATGTCTTTTATTGATACTGAAGTCAGAGTATTACCGAATTTCACTATTATAGTTCTAATCCGCACTAGTAGTTGATTCAAAGAAACATATATATAGTACATCGATCACAGATGAGAATCTTGAAAGGATTGTTTTCGTTCTCTACACTATTTAAGTTAAAAAACGGTTCTCCTGGTAACCTAAGTTTACCTACACCATGTCCCTTAAATAACACGGTTTTCAGGGTTATCTAACTTTACCTGCACTTTGTCTCTTACAAAACACGGTTGTCAGGGTAACATAACTTTATCTACACTATGTTTCTTACAAAACATGGTTGTCTGGGTAACCTAGCTTTACCTGTATTTTGTCTCTTACAAAACACGGTTGTCAGGGTAACATAACTTTATCTACACTATGTTCCTTACAAAACATGGTTGTCTGGGTAACCTAGCTTTACCTGTATTTTGTCTCTTACAAAAAGCGGTTGTCAGGATAGAGTGAGTTTACATACACTATGTCCCTGACAGAGCACGGTTGTCAGGGTAACCTGATTTTACGTACACTATGTCCCTGACAGAACACGGTTGTTAAGGTAACCTGAGTATACCTACATTATGTTCTTGACAGAACACGGTTGTTAAGGTAATCTGAGTCTACCTACACTATGTCCCTGACAGAACACTGTTGTTAAGGTAATCTGAGTTTACCTACACTATGTCCCTGACAGAACTCGGTTGTTAAGGTAATCTGAGTTTACCTATACTATGTCCCTGTCAGAACACGGTTGGCAGGGTAACTGGAGTTTATCTACGTTATGTCCCTGACAGAACACTGTTGTTAAGGTAATCTGAGTTTACGTACACTATGACCCTGACAGAACACGGTCGTTACGGTAATCTGAGTTTACGTACACTATGTCCCTGACAGAACACGGTTGTTAAGGTAATCTGAGTTTACCTACACTATGTACTTGACAGAACACGGTTGTCAGGGTAACCGGAGTCTATCTACACTATTTCCCTGACAGAACATAGTTGTTAAGGTAATCTGAGTTTATCTACACTATGTCCTTGACAGAACACTGTTGTTAAGGTAATCTGAGTTTATCTACACTATTTCCCTGACAGAACATAGTTGTTAAGGTAATCTGAGTTTATCTACACTATGTCCTTGACAGAACACTGTTGTTAAGGTAACCTAAGTTTACGTACACTATGTCCCTGACAGAAGACTGTTGTTAAGGTAATCTGAGTTTATCTACACTATGTACTTGACAGAACACGGTTGTTAAGGTAACCTGAGTCTATCTACACTATTTCCCTGACAGAACATAGTTGTTAAGGTAACCTGAGTTTACCTACATTATGTCCCTGACAGAACACGGTTGTTAAGGTAACCTGAGTTTACGTACACTATGTACCTGACAGAACATAGTTGTTAAGGTAACCTGAGTTTACCTTACTTTAAGTGAAGTGACATCACCTGAATCTCCACTTCACAAAGTCCACCATAATTTATAGAATAAAAGTCGACCTCTTCAACAAACAACCAAAACATTTGTAAAAACCTAACTGAACAAGTATGATAAATTTATTAATCTTACTTTAAAGTGGTAGGTATAATAGAATCAAACATTCTAAACTTGATAAATACTTAATATTGCACGCTTGCCTGATGAGCTGCATCTGTTGTCGCTAACAGTTGAAAGTAACAGCCATCAAAAGTACGGTCGTAGAACTGAAATCACTTGAAAATACGTTAAATGAACAAGAAAAGCAAGTAAAACGTTTTGCTACAAAGTTGTTATTCATTCCGTTCTCACTACGAGACGAAAAAAAATCGAACACAAATATCTTGTCCACGAGGCCTCGGAGTTGCTCATTTCAACCTGCGCGAGACAAAACACGTACTGCTGACGGACAAATCCGCTCCGAGTCACGCACAGATTGGCGGACGAGTTCATTCGGTATGCACGTGGGTGTTGATGGCATAGTAAATTACGTATGCCAATGTTGATCGTAAAGGAAACGATGAAACCGATCTACCGTTGAACAATGTGCAGTAAATAAATACAGAACCTTTTCCTTGCCTTTCTCCAAGATGTATTATTGTTCCGCGAAGAACAGTGTTTACTAAGTAATGGGCAAATCTTAATTCGGGAAGGAGGCACCGATGACTGGGGCACTTTATTTGCTATGTTCACGTAACCACTGGGCTCATAGCTCGAACAGAGACGTATACACCAATTTCTATTCCCCATTCAAAGAGGCACTTGTGGTAAAAATTAAGGGAGGGCATATGCCCCCAGTGTGACCCTCGATTCACCTCGGTAAAAGGTGTGACAACGCTACCCCATCTCTGCATGTAAACATAAAATATAACATAAGATAGGTAATCCATACGACACTAATCCATCCTTACATGTAAACATAAAATATAACATAAGATAGGTAATAACAGTACGACACTAATCCATCCTTACGTACTGTTATTACTTATGTTATATTTTATGTTTGTATGTAAGGATGTTGTAGTGTCGTACTGTTATTACTTATGTTATATTTTATGTTTACATGTAAGGATGTTGTAGTATCTTGTAGTATCGTACTGTTATTACTTATGTTATATTTTATGTTTACACATCCTTACATGTAAACATAAAATATAAAGTAAGTAATAACAGTAAGACACTACAACATCCTTACATGTAAACATAAAATATAGAATTGTTTACAGGATCTACTGAAGTAACATGTAATTATTTACAGGATCTACTGAAGTGAAACAGTCAGGAAGTGTTATACTCTAACTTTTTCAGACTGAATTTCGCCAAAATATTGAAAATATGGAAGCACATTTGATAACAATTAACATTTTACTAGTTTTTATCATAACTGATTTAAACAGTTGATATCAACCATTATTAAAAGAAGGTTTTTTGATCAAGTACAACGTTTTTCTTTCCTGCTTTAATCTGAAATTGTATTACTATTGATGCCATTAGGTTCTGGTTTCGTTTTCTGACCTAAGTGGGGAGGGGTGGAGTTTTCAGGGCGGAGTTTATGTGGTATTCAGCCATAGTATTCAAGAATAGGACGTTTTTAACGCTTAACTGCACGCTCTGGAGATTATTGAAACATCCTATTTGTACAAAAAACATTTGTAATTACAGGAAACCTTCGCTCTGATCGGAGTTATTGCTTTTACAATACGCAATAACATTTTACACTAACTTTATCTGCCAGTATATATCATACATTATATGAGGGATATCGTGCTGACATCATGGCCTTCTGTCAGTACATATCATACATTCTATGAGGGATATCGTGCTAACATCATGGCCTACTGCCAGTATATATCATACATTATGTGAGGGATATCGTGCTGACATCATGACCTTCTGCCAGTATATATCATACATTATGTGAGGGATATCGTGCTAACATCATGACCTTCTGCCAGTATATATCATACATTATA